AGTTACGTTGGAACGGCCCGTTCTTATATTGGAACGTCCCGTTCCGGGGTTCAGAACGTCCCGTTCCGATTTTGGAACGGCTCGTTCTGAGTTTTGGAACGGCCTGTTTTGATTTTGGAATGGCCTGTTCCGGGCTACTGAAACCACCTTATTTGGCCTTTAGGCCTTCTGATGTCTTGTCTTGTTCAGTTTATAGATCCAGTTTATACAACTGATTATGTTTTAAAAGCCTATTCTGGTGTTTGGGAACCAATCGGAAATGAAGACTTAATCCCTCCAAGTGATGACGACTGGATACTTGTCCCAGATCCAACATCTGTGCGTGGGAAAGGCCGGCCAAAATCAACCAGAATTAGAAACGAAATGGACTGGGTTGAAAGCTCAACGCGAAGACAAAAATGTGGTATATGTAAACAAGAAGGTCACAACAGGCGCAATTGTCCGAGAATATGTAACCGTGATGAATAATGTAGAAATTTTGTTTGCATGATTAGAATTTTATAAAGTTAATGAAATAGTTCATAAATATACAATGTCTATTCATCATCCTCCTCATCCTGCTCATGTTCGTCTTGATGATGACCTACACCTCTAACAGTACCAGGAGTGAGAATGCACCGTCGTCGTCTCTCCCTTGCTGCCCTTTGAGGATTTCTACGAACATTTACTTCATGTGGCTCCGATGGTGGTTGACTAGCCTCGGCAGAAAACTGTGGTCGCAAATCAACCCCTGTAACATCAAATTTAAAAGACAAATTAACATTATTAATAATAAATAAAACAATCAAATAAAAGACCAAATGAATTTAATTTTATATTACCTGATGTATAAGTATGACTGATATAAGCATCATCATATGGAATATGATAAGGGGCTTGCTGACTGTGCTGCGTGTAATCCTGTGTCCCACTTGGTTATTTGGCCTTTAGGCCTTCTGATGTCTTGTCTTGTTGTTTGCCTACTTCGAAACCCCCTTTCCTTCGTAATGGAGGTCCATTTCTTTGTTTGTGTGCCCCCCGGACGAAATTGGGTGTCTACAATGGGGTGGTGGTAGGCCATGCTTCCATCCAGATATAGTAGTCTGGAATAATCATCTTGTATCACGAACACAAATACTTAACCCAAAAGTAGAGGAATCCTTGAAGAGCGCCGCATCAACGTTGCACGTGAAGGTGTTGGCAGGAGGGTTGGTCCATCTGTGGTTCACAACGGGGGAGGCATTTTGTGTCAAGTTCCTGTGTGCAGATTGCCATGCATGGAAGTGTTGTTCCGTTAGCTGGATTGAGGTTCTTGGGGGAGGGGCACTCTCCTTCCATACTTTGTCGTTTCTCCACCGCCAGATGCACCAAAGCATGAGGGTGAACGATGTTAAGTCAGAACCTGTTAAGTGACCCAGCAGTTTCCACGTGGTGTCAATGAAGCTGATGCCTTGCTCTACTATACGGGCGATCCGCGGCCAACATCCTGAGTCTATCCATATGGATATGGCGGCTGGGCAACTATAGAAGAGGTGCCATTCGTTCTCCTGGTTTGCAGAACAATGGGGGCAAGAAGACGTGCACGAGACGCCTTTCTGTTGTAGGTTCAGGCACGTGGGAATGCAACCTCTCAATAGTCTCCAGAGGAAAATCTGTGTTGAGTGAGGGATCTTCAAGCTCCATAGTTTCATCCAGTCACCCTGCACTCTCAATGTATTGTTGGAGATGACATGTTCCATGAGATGGTGATATGCTGTGCGTACTGAGAAGGAGCCATTGGTTGTTAGCCTCCAAGTTAAAGAATCTGGGCGTGAGGGGTTCAACAGTGGTATAGATAGGATGGATTGAGCATCTTGATGATTGAAGAGAGTTTGAACTCGATGCGAATCCCACTTGTGAAGAGTGCGATCAATGAGGTCGTGGACAGTGAGAGATTCGTATCCTTGAGGGGCTGTTGAGGTAACATACGGGCTATGTGAGTTGCGGAGCCACGGATCCTTCCAAATGTTAATAGAAGAGCCATTCCCTATACACCACCTGGCACCTTGCCTGATTAGAACCTGTGAAGCGTGGATGCTTCTCCAAATAAAACTTGGGTTGTGGCCCAGGCGGGCACCCAAGAAATCCCCTTGAGGGAAGTATCTAGCTTTGAAGATCCGTGTAAATAGAGCATCTGGGTTGGACTGTAGATTCCACCCTTGCTTCCCAAGCATAGCCAAGTTAAAACCATGGAGGTGACGGAAGCCCATACCGTCGTACTCTTTCCTCATAGTGAGTTTGTCCCAGCTTAACCATTTGATTCCTCGCCCTGTATGGTGGTTGGAGCCCCACCAGAAGGAGTTCAACATTCTTTGAATTTCATCTTCGAGGCTGGTTGGTAGAAGGAAGGTACTCATGCAATAGCTGGGGATTGCTTGTGCCACTGCCTTGATAAGGGTCTCGCGGCTAGCCTTTGAGAGATGTTTGCCTGTCCAGTGGTTGATCTTCTTCCATATGCGATCTTTGACGTAGGAAAACACTGCCCTTTTGTTTCTGCCCACCATGGATGGGAGGCCTAAATATTTTCCAGTGCCAATGCATTTGTGAACCCCCAGAATAGCGTTGATGGACGTGCGCGTTCGTGTAGTAGTATTTTTGCTGTAGTAAATCTCTGACTTTTGCAAGTTGATGGCTTGTCCTGATGCACTCTCGTATTGTTGAAGAATGGTGCGAAGAGTGGTGCACTCGCGTTCAATGGCTTTGCAGAAAAGGAAACAGTCATCCGCGAATAGCAAATGTGAGACTTGCGGTGCGCCTCGACAAATTTTAGCCCCGTGGAGTTCCCCTCTAGCTTCTGCTTTTCGTAATAAGGAAGAGAGCCCTTCAGCACATAAAATAAAAAGATAGGGTGAGAGGGGGTCACCTTGGCGTAGTCCTCGCTCTAGTGATATAAACATGTTTTTAATATCTAATATATATTTTTAGATGATAATTTATTTTAAAATATATTTTATAATAACAATTCTAAATGAAACATAAATCTTTCGATTTTTCTTTTTTTGATTTTTTTAATCAATATATGCAATAAATAGAAAACACAAAAGGTAAACATGCATA